TTTGTTTGACTCAAGAGTCAAATGTCGCCCATGTTCATATTTACATGTATACATTCAGATGTACTTCTATATATTCAGATTTACATGAATATATTCAGATTTACTTCTATATTTTCATGGTTATAACTGTATATTCACATTTTAAGTTTATGTATTCAGATTTACATTTATATATTCAGTATTTACATAATTATTTCCTGTTTGGCGCCTCATAATAAGCTCACTTACATGTTAGTAATTTAGGAACATGCCACAGCACATTTTGACACTATGACAAGCACGATGCTGTGTGGTAAAATGAAAAATAGTCAATGAGAAATGTCTAAATGACACTCAGAATAAGTCTAACTGGCCAATAGTGCTCATGCGCACAAAGGATTGGTTGTTGTGTATTGGAAATTCCTACATTTAACTAAACCTTCCCAGGTTTCTTACATCTGTACATCTCTTTATCTGTCACCACAGCTCTGTTTCAGTCACTGACCTCTGACCTTGATGAGATCATCATGCCAGTAGATGGGATTGAACTCCATCTAGTGTTTGGAGACATCACTAATGAGACTACTGAGGCCATCGTGAACACCACTGACTTTAAGGACTTCCAGACAGCTGGTATTCATGCAGATTTTGTAATTTAATAACCAAAACATTCTTGATACACTGTTTAGAACATAAGAGAGTGTTTAACCTGTCCATCACAGGAGTGTGTAAGGACATCCTTACTAAGGCAGGACCTCAAATCCAGGCTCAACTGACAGGCGGTAAGAAAAATAAACTACAGCCTCTTTTATAAAATTAGCTTTTGATTTTATTACATATATGAAAAGACTTTTGTCAAGCATGTTTGAATGCACTAAATAATGTATGCAAGCATCGAAAGTAATTTTAACACAAAGTTTTATGAAATTGATAGACTTACCTATCAAATTTAACTTTCCCTGGAAGCCATTTCTTTTGAAAATGATCTAATCTAATTAAATCAGAATCACATGCCTTCATTAGAAACTGTGTGATTTTAGAAAATTTGAAGAAACTATATACACTTAACTGAGCCTGTTTGCAAATTTGGCATTTTTTAAAAATCTAATAAAATACAGAAAACCAAATGACAATTTAAAATAGATAAATGATTTAATTAATCAAATATATACATGCAATATATCAACTAACACTATACCTTACATATATTCTCCAGCTCAGGCAGCGAGCAGGCAGATCTTCAAGACCCCACCAGGAGGCTTCCCCTGTAAGACCATCATGCATGTTTGTGGAGAGAGAAACCCTGATGTTATCAAGACCTTGGCAAAAGAAATAGTGGTTCAATGTGAGCATGGCTGCTACAGGTCTGTGGCCATTCCTGCGATCTGCGCTGGTCAGTACCTTCATTGTTACTTGCATTGTGAAAAAAATTGATTTCTTGTAAGGTAGTTTGTTTTATGTTTTTTCCCCCCCATTTACTATCTCCTATAACGATGAAGGTCTGTTTCCACCTCAGAGTAAAAAATACTGTAATTTGAAAATAAATGTTTATCTCATAATTCTCAGAATTGCCAGATATAAACTAGGAATTATGAGATATAAACTCAGAATTATGAGATAAACCCAGAATTGCAAAATATAAACTCAATATTGCGAGATATAAACTCAGAATTGTGAGATAAACTCAGAATTGCAAGATATAAACTCGGAATTGCAAGATATAAACTCAGAATTGTGAGATAAACTCAGAATTGCAAGATATAAACTAGGAATTATGAGATATAAACTCAAAATTGCAAGATATAAACTAGGAATTGTGAGATATAAACTAGGAATTGTGAGATATAAACTAGGAATTGTGAGATATAAACTAGGAATTGCAAGATATAAACTCAGAATTGCGAGATATAAACTAGGAATTGTGAGATATAAACTAGGAATTGCAAGATATAAACTCAGAATTGCGAGATATAAACTAGGAATTGTGAGATATAAACTAGGAATTGCAAGATATAAACTCAGAATTGCGAGATATAAACTAGGAATTGTGAGATATAAACTAGGAATTGCAAGATATAAACTCAGAATTGCGAGATATAAACTAGGAATTGTGAGATATAAACTAGGAATTGCAAGATATAAACTCAGAATTGCGAGATATAAACTAGGAATTGTGAGATATAAACTAGGAATTGCAAGATATAAACTCAGAATTGCGAGATATAAACTAGGAATTGTGAGATATAAACTAGGAATTGCAAGATATAAACTCAGAATTGCGAGATATAAACTAGGAATTGTGAGATATAAACTAGGAATTGCAAGATATAAACTCAGAATTGCGAGATATAAACTAGGAATTGTGAGATATAAACTAGGAATTGCAAGATATAAACTCAGAATTGCGAGATATAAACTAGGAATTGTGAGATATAAACTAGGAATTGCAAGATATAAACTCAGAATTGCGAGATATAAACTAGGAATTGTGAGATATAAACTAGGAATTGCAAGATATAAACTCAGAATTGCGAGATATAAACTAGGAATTGTGAGATATAAACTAGGAATTGCAAGATATAAACTCAGAATTGCGAGATATAAACTAGGAATTGTGAGATATAAACTAGGAATTGCAAGATATAAACTCAGAATTGCGAGATATAAACTAGGAATTGTGAGATATAAACTAGGAATTGCAAGATATAAACTCAGAATTGCGAGATATAAACTAGGAATTGTGAGATATAAACTAGGAATTGCAAGATATAAACTCAGAATTGCGAGATATAAACTAGGAATTGTGAGATATAAACTAGGAATTGCAAGATATAAACTCAGAATTGCGAGATATAAACTAGGAATTGTGAGATATAAACTAGGAATTGCAAGATATAAACTCAGAATTGCGAGATATAAACTAGGAATTGTGAGATATAAACTAGGAATTGCAAGATATAAACTCAGAATTGCGAGATATAAACTAGGAATTGTGAGATATAAACTAGGAATTGCAAGATATAAACTCAGAATTGCGAGATATAAACTAGGAATTGTGAGATATAAACTAGGAATTGCAAGATATAAACTCAGAATTGCGAGATATAAACTAGGAATTGTGAGATATAAACTAGGAATTGCAAGATATAAACTCAGAATTGCGAGATATAAACTAGGAATTGTGAGATATAAACTAGGAATTGCAAGATATAAACTCAGAATTGCGAGATATAAACTAGGAATTGTGAGATATAAACTAGGAATTGCAAGATATAAACTCAGAATTGCGAGATATAAACTAGGAATTGTGAGATATAAACTAGGAATTGCAAGATATAAACTCAGAATTGCGAGATATAAACTAGGAATTGTGAGATATAAACTAGGAATTGCAAGATATAAACTCAGAATTGCGAGATATAAACTAGGAATTGTGAGATATAAACTAGGAATTGCAAGATATAAACTCAGAATTGCGAGATATAAACTAGGAATTGTGAGATATAAACTAGGAATTGCAAGATATAAACTCAGAATTGCGAGATATAAACTAGGAATTGTGAGATATAAACTAGGAATTGCAAGATATAAACTCAGAATTGCGAGATATAAACTAGGAATTGTGAGATATAAACTAGGAATTGCAAGATATAAACTCAGAATTGCGAGATATAAACTAGGAATTGTGAGATATAAACTAGGAATTGCAAGATATAAACTCAGAATTGCGAGATATAAACTAGGAATTGTGAGATATAAACTAGGAATTGCAAGATATAAACTCAGAATTGCGAGATATAAACTAGGAATTGTGAGATATAAACTAGGAATTGCAAGATATAAACTCAGAATTGCGAGATATAAACTAGGAATTGTGAGATATAAACTAGGAATTGCAAGATATAAACTCAGAATTGCGAGATATAAACTAGGAATTGTGAGATATAAACTAGGAATTGCAAGATATAAACTCAGAATTGCGAGATATAAACTAGGAATTGTGAGATATAAACTAGGAATTGCAAGATATAAACTCAGAATTGCGAGATATAAACTAGGAATTGTGAGATATAAACTAGGAATTGCAAGATATAAACTCAGAATTGCGAGATATAAACTAGGAATTGTGAGATATAAACTAGGAATTGCAAGATATAAACTCAGAATTGCGAGATATAAACTAGGAATTGTGAGATATAAACTAGGAATTGCAAGATATAAACTCAGAATTGCGAGATATAAACTAGGAATTGTGAGATATAAACTAGGAATTGCAAGATATAAACTCAGAATTGCGAGATATAAACTAGGAATTGTGAGATATAAACTAGGAATTGCAAGATATAAACTCAGAATTGCGAGATATAAACTAGGAATTGTGAGATATAAACTAGGAATTGCAAGATATAAACTCAGAATTGCGAGATATAAACTAGGAATTGTGAGATATAAACTAGGAATTGCAAGATATAAACTCAGAATTGCGAGATATAAACTAGGAATTGTGAGATATAAACTAGGAATTGCAAGATATAAACTCAGAATTGCGAGATATAAACTAGGAATTGTGAGATATAAACTAGGAATTGCAAGATATAAACTCAGAATTGCGAGATATAAACTAGGAATTGTGAGATATAAACTAGGAATTGCAAGATATAAACTCAGAATTGCGAGATATAAACTAGGAATTGTGAGATATAAACTAGGAATTGCAAGATATAAACTCAGAATTGCGAGATATAAACTAGGAATTGTGAGATATAAACTAGGAATTGCAAGATATAAACTCAGAATTGCGAGATATAAACTAGGAATTGTGAGATATAAACTAGGAATTGCAAGATATAAACTCAGAATTGCGAGATATAAACTAGGAATTGTGAGATATAAACTCAAAATTGCAAGATATAAACTCAGAATTATGAGATATAAACTTAAAATCGCAAGATATAAATTCAAAATTGCAAGATATAAACTCAGAATTGTGAGATATAAACTCAAAACTGTGAGATATAAACTCAAAATTGCAAGACATAAACTCAAAATTGCGAGATATAGGAATTATGAGATATAAACTCAAAATTGTGATATAAATTCAAAATTGCACGATATAAACTCAGAATTGCAAGATATAAACTCAGAATTGCACGATATAAACTCAAATTTGCAAGATATAAAATCAGAATTATGAGATATAAACCTAAAATCGCAAGATATAAATTCAAAATTGCAAGATATAAACTCAAATTTGCGAGATATAAACTCAGAGATATATCCATACATTTTAACAGCTGAATAATACAGATTTTTTTCTTTGCTTGTATATACGAGCGCATTCATTTGATAATTTGATCAATTTGGTTCCCACATAAAAAGGCAAAAACTAAGTCTAGTATTTTTTTACATTTACATTTATGCATTTCGCAGATGCTTTTTTCCAAAGCGGCTTAAAGGGGAAAGTTCACATTCAAAATGATTATCTTTTGTGTTCAGTGGAAGAAAGAAATTCATACATGTTTGAAACAACATGAAGTTGAGTAAATTATGTCAGAATTTTCATTTCTGGGTGAACTATCCCTTTAAGTTGCATGCAACATATACATTTTATCAGTTTGTGCATTTACTGGGAATTGAACTTATGATCTTGGCGTTGCAAGCGCCATGAATGTTGAAGACTCACAGGACTTTGTCATGGTCTTTATAAGAATAAGGCCTTTTACCGCACAAATATTTTTATCTAGTATAATTGCTCAGTAGTTTATCTGATTGGAAATATGCATGAATGAAATAGTAGGAATGTTTTGGCATCATAAACGGCCATGTCAAGGTAAATTTGTGGGCTCTGCAGGACAAGGAGGTTTGGATCCAAATGTGGTGGCCAAGTCCATTCTAGAGGGAGTAAAGGAAGGTGTTCAAGGAGCGAATCTTCAACATCTCAAAAACATTCGGATCATTCTGCTGAAGATTAATGTTTTTCTGGCATTCAAATCGACATCAAAGCAAATTTTTGGCGGTAGTACACAGTTAACAGGTGAGAATGAATCTGCGTAATGCAGAGGCACTTTTATTTCTTGCCCATCTCATGCATTATAAAAAATAATTCTTCAACATTTTTCAATATTTTTTACAGTGTTTTCACAGGACACTCATTATCAATTTTGCACATTCACCTTTTTCAGCTCCTGCACCACTTGTACTTACCAGTGTAACCACCAGAGGGCGCAGTGCAACCAGTATCAGGCACAGTGGATCAACTAGATCAAGCAGATCACATTCCTTACCCTTACCAGTCGCTTTGGACTTGAGTTCTCTAGTGACATCTTTGCCTGACACAGAGAGCACAGCCGCATTTCTAGTCATTGGTCACACCAATAATGATGTTTCTGATGCCTGCAGAGATCTTCAGCTGGCATATAAGGACCAGTGCGCCACACACACTTTCTTTCCTGATGAGATTGAACGCCTCACTCAAGAGGAGATGGACCAGCTGCTCTCTAAAGTGAATTCACTGCACCTGCAGATAGAACAGAACAGTTCTGAAGGATGGGTAGTTAAAGGGCAGAGGAACGGAGTGAATGAGGTGGTTAGACTGATACAAGATGCACTTCGCAGACAGGTGAGAATAACAATGATTTAACATTAAAAATAAATTAGCTCTCCACACAATTGCCTCAGCACATAATGCATAGAATTTGCGAATAATAGTCAATGCCGATAGCCTTGTGTTGTGTCTACGAGTGTCCTGATTCTGAGTCCCGGCTCATCGGCCTTTCCCGATCCTGACTTACACACACACATACATACATACGCTGCAATTGTATACTAATCTTCTTGTATACTAACTATGGTATACTAATCTTCTGGGGCGTTTTGGTGACTAATGATAAATGCAATAAAAACTTAAAATCGTGAAATCAAATTGTTTTTCATGATTATTCATTTATTCATTTGCAAAGCCTAACATCTTATTTCTCCCAAACTCTAAGGTAAGAGAGAAGGACCAGACCTTCCTCTTCAGTCAGGTCACGTGGTGCATTCTGGGACCACGGGGCATTTGGCAGAAGGTACCAAAAGACGTGAATTATAAGCTTGAGAAAAGAGATGTGAAAGATGGAATTGAGGATGCACAGGGTGTGAAATGGACTGTGGATTTGCAAAAGATGGAGGCCACATCATGTGATTCAGGACAGGTGACCACTCTCAAACGACTGGAGAACCCTTCAGGTGAGAAACCGCTTTTATAGTATATGAAAATATGACCCTGATTATGTTAAATATATATTTGATACTGTGATAGATAAAAAAAAGACCAAATCTTTGTCCAGTTGAAAACCACTGATCTACATCTATGATATAAATTGATACATAATAATCCACCTAAATCAAAAGCCTCATTATTTTGCATTTCAGATTTGTCTTTGCCAATCTACTGGGACAACATGAGTCAGAGTGACCTCTTAAAGGTGATTGTCTTAGATCCGTCATCTTCAGAGTACAAGACTGTGAAGATGGACTTCAAGAAGACAGTCAGAAAAACAGTGCTCAAGGTTTGACAGCTGACACCATCTTAGTGTGCTTTACATGACATAAACCATCGAAGGACATAAAAATGGATTTTAAAGAACTACATAATGTCTTAATTCATGTCTAGTTGAATTTTAGGATTAGAGATAGTCTAAAACAATGGCTTATTATAGGTTAAATCAAGGGCCAGATTGTATTAATGGCACCTATTGGTTTTATTTTTAACCTTTGAAAGTTACGGGGCTGTTTGGGGCAGTCATGGCCTAATGGTTAGCGAGTCGGACTTGTAACCCATAGGTTGCGGGTTCGAGTCTCGGTACTGGCAAGGATTGTCGGTGGGGGGAGTGAATGTACAGTACTCTCTTCCACCTTCAATAACATGACTGAGGTGAGACCCTTGAGCAAGGCACCAAACCCCCAACTTTGGTGCAATATGGCTGCCTCACTGCTGTGTGTGTGCACTTGGGATGAAATGCAGAGCACAAATTCCGAGTACGGGACACCATACTTCACTTTTCATTTTGTATGGCAGTATAGTCTTTATAGTTTGCTTCTATGAAGAACAACAGATGTGAATGTGAAGCCCATCAAATATATACATGGCTGTTTGAGTGCAAATGTATTTCAACAGATCGAGCGCATCCAGAACATGAATCTTCGGCGGTTATACGAGGGTCGTAAAAAAGAGCTGGAGAACAGAAATGGTCTTATTGTGGGAGCAGGAGAGAAGATCCTTTATCACGGCACATCAGAGACGTCCTGCTCATCCATCATGAAGTCAAACTTTAATCGCAATTTTGCAGGGCAAAATGGTAACTGCCTTTTTTTTTTACAGTTTGGTTAAATTAATAGTCCACCCAAAAATGGAAATTCTGTCACTGTTTGTTTGTGACCAATATACATTGTTTCAAACCTCTATGAACAGCTTGGTTCATAGTGACTATGACTGTCAAGGTCAAAAAATGACTAAATGCACCATAAAGTGAAGTTCATCTGACTCACTCATAGTCCTCTGCAGTCATGCAATAACTGTAGGAGTGACAAACCCAACAGCGAGTGATGACAGAATTGTAAGTTTTGGGTGAACATTGGATGAACTTCCTCTTTATAGTTTAACAGTCTAGTAAACAGATTCCCAGTCAGTCACTGATGGTCTCGTTAATTGTTCAGTTTGCAGACTAATTAATTCTGGTGACTTTTATACCTTTCTCAGCCACCGTCTATGGACATGGGACGTACTTCGCTGTGAACGCCAGCTACTCTGCCCATCCTACCTATGCAGTTCCTGCAGCAGACGGGACTCAGCTCATGTTTGTGGCTCGTGTGCTTACGGGTTATTACGCTTTGGGTCAGGGGGACATGAGGACGCCCCCTGAGCGTGTGGCACCTGACCTCTATGACAGCGTGGTGGATGATACGCAGAATCCCTCCATGTTTGTGGTTTTCCACGACTGCCAGGCTTATCCTGACTACCTCATCACATTCAAATGAACTTGTGCAAAAACCAACCCTGGCTTGAAATCCAGAAGATTTATAAACGGTCATTAGTTATATAGTTGATCTTACATTAAAATGTAATCATTTAGGGCAGTGGTTTTCAAACCAGTCCTGCAAGCACCCCTAGCACCTCACATTTTGTATGTCTCCCTATATCTGACACACCCATTTCAGGTCTTGCAGTCTCTACTAATGAGCTGTTGAGTTGAATCAGGTGTGATAGATGAGGGAGACACAGAAAATGTGCAGTGCTGGGGGTGCTCGCAGGACCGGTTTGAAAACCACTGATTTAGGGGATACTGTTATAGAGGGTTTGATTTAATTAGTTACTGCATACCTTTTTATGCTTTATGCCACAACTAACTAGTGCTCAGCAGATATGAGTGTTTAAGTAACCAGTATAATTCAGATTAGGTAGTTTTATGATAGCAAATAAAAATGAGTATTTTTCAGGAAATCTTGAAATTTACAAGAATTTATGAGCAGAAAATGTGCAATATCAACTGGCAAAGCGGTCTGTAGATTGACAGTATGATATTAAATACTTGTGTGAGTCGCACGTGGTTATAGACTGACAGAGAAAGATTAATCTGTCTCTTGTGCAAACAACAGAAGTGACATGCAACTATGATATTTAGCTTCAGGGCGATCGATTCGTCACTCCAGGATAAAAACAGGGGCTTTTAAATGTGATTTGGTCGTATTCCAATACTTCCTTCTCAGTTCCCATGTCTGCTTCAGGCTCCTTGCTATCATGAAGAAACAATTTGGCATTGTTTTGTATGAAATGTAGGAGTTTGCGCAATTTGTCGACATAGCTATGCAATTCTTTCAAACATCAACTGGAAGTACTTCAGAGAAACCAATAAGACCTGTCTATATTGCAACAAAAAATAGTTGTTATTGTATTATTTGGCCTAATTTCTACTTTATCTGAAAATAATTTAGCTGCACATACAGATCAATCTGTTTTATTAAGTATGTTTATTAGCTATACTTGAATAATTAGGAAATTTATGATAAAAATATTAAAATCTCCCACTGGCTTGTTGACTTTGGAAATGTTTGCAATTCAAAATTCATTTAACAGACGTCATTGTGATGTTTGCATAATGAATTGGGATTGGTTTTTGGTTTCCTGTCCTTATCACAAGCACTTTGAATCACCTGTATTATACAAACATGTACTACAAAAATAAAAAGATTTTTAACAAGAATGACTGAATGGGTTGAGGTGTTAAATTAAGTAGTTCAAACCAACATAATTCCGTCATATTGACTCACGCTTGTCATATTCTGTTCATGTTTGACAGTCAAGCTGTAAAACACGGATCATAAAACTAGTCCATGTGACTTCTGTGCATTAATAAGTAATTTAAGTTACTAAGTTATTAAGTTATATGATGGCCCAAATTTGAATTATTCACTGAAAATCTTCCCTATCATAGCCATAGAGATATAGAGGTAGATGTCTCATTCGACAGCTCCAAGCACGTAGACGCGTCCGCCATTGAATATTCGAATATTCATTGATTATAATGGTGAATGACTCAAGGCATCTACGTATATCTAATGAGGCATCTACGTATATCTATGCACAAATATGTAAAGGTAGATGCCTCATTCGACAGCTCCAAGCACGTAGATGCGTCCGCCATCTTTAACGGTCAACTTGACGTCATTCACCATAATAATCAATGAATATGAGAAGATGCCACAATCCTGCACAGCCGATGGTTGTAAAAACCGCCGGGATTTAAATTCCCGAAGAAACAGGATAACCGTTCACAGGTGAGAATGCGAAAGTTTGGCATCTTCGAATATTCATTGATTATTATGGTGAATGACGTCAAGTTGACCCTTCCAATATGGCGGACGGCTTACGTATAGCGGCCCATAGAAACAAGGCATCTACTTATAAATATCTATGTATCTATGATCATAGCATAATACAGCTTAGATGCCATTTTGAATTTACTCGGATGAAACTGAGACTTAAAATGACACACACTGTATTAAAGCAAACACTATTAAAGTCCTAGATCAAATAATTAACAATTGTTTATTAAGTTTTTGTTTACTGAAATCTAATGTGAGCAACCCTGCTCGTTTTATTCTTGTCAAAAATTAAATATGGCTACCCTGGCTAAAGCTGCACACTTTTATCCATGTAAGCTTGTGCGCACATTATTTCAGAGCTTTAGTTTTCTTTTTATTCCTCACACAAAGCTACTATGTGGAAATAGAGTGTGCAAGTCTTATTTACTTAACTTGACTGATGTTCTGGATTAGAGCTGTGTGGGAAAAACACATACGGGTTGCACACATGGGTGAGTTAACATGATCAAGCTTTAATTTGTGGGTGAATTATTGATTAATGTGGGTAAGGTAGGCTAACAATGTTTCCACTGTGTTTAAATTAGTTGTGTAGACACAGTGTGTAATTGTAGTGACATAGTTGAACAACGTTTTATCTCATATCTGGAGCTCTTCCACCAAAATAGAGTGAGTAAAGACAGGCCTGAGGAATGTGCATAGGATTCCTCTTATCGCTATACAAAATGCTTCAGTGGAAAGATTAGGAAAACGCTGTTTACATATTTCACTCATCATTAACTCATTAGATGCGGTGTGTGGTCTGCCGGAGAGGCATCATGGCTTTATTTTTTATATATAAATATTTCCATTTAGTTGGAAAATAGAATGAAAAGTGACCTTTAGACAATATTGTTTTTATGTACAGTATTTAAAAAATGGAACCTATTTATACTTAATATTACTTAATATTTTTAATACTGTACATATAAGGGGATAAAAATCTTTTGTTGAATGCAGTTGAATGCCTTTTTAGTACCATTTTAAATTTTTCTTGGGTTAAATTCAGTATTTGCTTGCACTCATTAATATTCACTTGTGTGTACTTATGAGTATTTATTTTATTAATTAAAAAAAAGGACATTTAAATTTCACATTTAAAAATCTAGTGTTTAATCATGTCTAAACATTTATTCAAATGCAAAACTTAAAATAAGTAAACAGGTATGACCTGCAATATTCTTTTGAAAGTATATTTATTAAATAGACACTGCAAAAAATGATTGATTTTAACAGTAAAAGACTTTAAAAATGCTACAGTAAAAACCTGTTAATTGGTTATCAGTAAGTTTCCATACTATATAAGGTGAATAACTGTAATTACAATTAATGTAATTTTACAGTAAAGTACTGTATAAATTACGGTTTTTGGAAGTGAAAAAGAAAAGGTCATTGTATAAAAACGGTGAAGTTCTGGCAACCACAGCTGCCGGTATTTTACCGTAAAGGTCACAGATTTTTTTTACAGGTAGGCCTACCTAGTGGGTAAACCATGGCATTACAAATTAAAATTATTTTTTTCAGACCACAAAATGACTCTGATTTGCCTCTTTGCATTGTAATCTAAACCCCTTTTCTCTATTTTAACCTTAAATACTACATTAATTGTAATATAAGTAATAGAAATATTAGAAAAAAATATTTTAAGTCATTAATAGACCATAATTATTGCACAAATAGTATTTAGTACTAGTATTAGTACTTTAGTATTTTATCTCCTCAAAATATAAAAAAAATATTATTTAACTAAAATATAGAACATTTATTTAACTGAAAAAATTGTTAAGGTGTATGGTCACATTACAGGTAAGGGATACCTGAGGGTTAAATACAAGAAAAACATATTAATGTTGCCTCTCTATCACTCTCCAGAATAAAATTATACTCTAAATGTCATCGACATATAATCAATGCATAATATGCTGTAATTTTGACCAAATATTGCTACAAATACCTGTATAGTGAAGCCAGTACCGTTTCTAAGCATAGGCAAGCTAGGCGGTCACCTAGGGCGCCAATGAGTGCACATACTGGCACTACATTTTAGCAGGGTTGTGACGGCCACACTGAAATATGATTGCCACCCCAGTGGAGCCCCCAACATCATTGGGCTAGAGTACTGTCGATCTGACGATGCCTGCATGCTATTGGATCAGAGCGCTGTCAATTGCTGCCGGATTGTTGCACACAAAGTTTGCATTTGGAGTGCTCAACAACACTGTTAGATCAATAAGTTCTGTCAGTGCTTTGGCAAAGTAACGCTTTATTTTGCCATGCAATAAAGCTAAGTTCAAAGGCCAATTTAAAATATTGGTACAGTAAAAAGTGCACAAAATGAGTATTTCATTAAGGCAGTATTTGTGGCAGTTGAGAAATCATGCTGCAAAATTGGTCCAAAAGGTGTGCGTTTTTGCGCCAATGCATTTTTAAAGGATCAGTGTGCGGTGTAATATTCCCATATAAAACTTTTACGGCCAATTAAAAAATATTGGTATAGTAAAATTCGCTAATTCGCAAGATCAATACATCCTTTATTAAACCGCTTTGTTGAATTTAACGCATCCTTACGGAAGTGTTGAAAAGCTGATTGGCTTAATTCAAAGCCAATTTGGATTTCACCTAAGCCGGTTTCACACTGGATGCGCAAGCAAAGCGGAGGCAGCGCAGAAGCTGTGTGTATGCAGAGTGGGAGCAACACGCGCCCATTGAGCTTCCACACTGGCAGCGTTTGTCATGCTCAGCTGAACTGCAAATACAGACGAGTATCGTTCATTCGGTCGTGTTTTTCAGGTGTTCTCCGACAGCTGTCTCTCGTGCTTTGATTTATGATATGGGCAGCATACTTTGCTGTGATGCGCTTGTGTTCCCCTCTGCCCCGCACACACATGCATATGCTGTATAGTGTAGTTTGCATGATAAAAGTAATCTTAACGTTAAGATATACATATAAACTATAGTGGACAGGGCCGTCGCTAGGAATTCTGGGCCCTGTGCACTGAATTTGCAATGGGGCCCCCTCAAAATCACATTCTGTGTGGGAGGGGGGGTGTTCGCGATCGCAAAATCACATTTAGTATGTTCGCGCTTGCAAGATAACGTTCAGTTCACCATCGCCCCCCCACCCCTCACCATGGGGGCCCCTGTTACTCAGTTCCACTATTACCCC